AAGCCATAGCACTCTACCCAGGGGGACAGCTTGAGCTCTGTCTCAAAAAAAAAAAAAAAAAAATAGGAGTATTTCCTTTTACAAGATGGGCATAAAAAAAAAAAAAAAGGAGTAATTCTGTTCAGCTAACTCCATGTTTTATCCTCAGTAACTATTAATATCTAATGCATCTAAAAATTAGATCCATAGTGTATGTTAAACAACATTTAACCGTAAAATTAGAAAGACAATTTTGCTAACGAGTTAGTTACCTTGTAGAGTAATTCCCAGTGAACTGATACTCTGCAGAATCTTCACTGTTATACACTAATGACAGGGGCAACTGGACCAAGAGTCTGTCTCTTCCTTCACGTCCTACAGTGTCTTTAAGAACTACTGTCACTGTGTCGTCATCGTAAAACTGTGCATCTAAACAACTGTAGATGCTAGAATTGAAGTAAGTTTGTGTTATCAAAGATGACCCTGACTACGGAGAAAATACCGTACAGATAACATTATACTGGCACCAACAAAAAAATAAAGTTATATTCTACATAACAACATTTAAAATACATATTAGTTTATACTAAAATCAGTTACTTGTTGTACTGATTATTCACAAACATAAGCAGGCCTTAAAAATAGGTCATCATTAAAAATAATTATGAATTTGGTTCACAGTTCTAGAACACTCTTGACATCGATACCTTAACATATCCCTTGAGCAAACAATAGTTAACTAGATTGAAAGGTAAAAATAAAATTTTACACATTAAGAAAAGACAACACTGAAGATTTTATCATAAAAAAACTTTTCTGTGAGAAAAAAAGAGAGAAAGATCTCACTGTGACTGGTATAGGTTCTTTCCCCTGCAAATCCTCAGTGATGACTTAGGGACATTACACTGTGGGACTTTAAGAAAATCCCAGAAGAGAGTAACATCGCCTTCTCTTTTTATTGGGGGGGGGGGAGGGCTATAACAGGAGTTTCAGCTGTGCAGGCCATGTGTGCTCCCTGGAACCACATTGCTTTCTTAGCAGACATAGTGCTCTCAGAAGTATATATTATATATATAATATATATTTATAAAAAAATATATATAGAGAGAGAGTGAGTTGTTGTTGTTGCAATTGTTTACCTGGCCCAGGCCGGGTTCAAACCCAGCACCCTCAGTGTATGTTGCTGGTATCGTAACCACTGTGCTACGGGCGCCAAGCCAGTGCTCAGAAATATTAATTACAGAACCGTGTTATATAAACTCCAGCAGGGCAGTAAGGTTCTGTATATCACTTATGACTCAATCATTCTCTATGTACTATAATATATATGAAAATATCCTGCCCCCTCTGTTGGAAGTGACAGAGCCCTTTTACCCATAAACACCATCACTCTATTTCCTAAACACACACATGTGACACGTAGCACATTTCATCCAAACAAGAATCAAGACTTACCTTCTTCTGACCTTTTCAGTCGTGGCATATGTAAAGCTCCCAAATTTAATGGCAATCAGTCCAGTACTTACAGATCTTGAAGAAAGAAGGGAGGAAAAAGAGACTTTGTGAACAACCTGGATAGCCAATTATCTAAATGCTCGAAAGAACATGATTGCCAGTGTTAGTGCAGTTGCCTAAATACCAACTCCCAGACCAAACACTGTGACTCTTCTCTACAATACTGACAACTCATTTAAACGCCTAGGTAGATAAACCAACGTGGTTTAAAATCTTAGTCTGCTAGGTTGCTTAGAAAGAAAAAATCTTGACATCAATACCTTGATTAGGGACATCTGGAATAGGAATAACCAAATTATTTCTCTTCTGCTACATCTAGGTCTTAAAAAGTTTCCTTTCAAATTCAGATTTAAAACCATTTTTAAAATACCAACGACATTCTAAATATTATCTTTCAGAAATTTACTTAAATTGACTTGTCAAAACGAGTCTGCTAGGCAAGGCTTCTTATTTGAAAAATACATACTTAACATAAGGTAAAAACTCCTTCTGCTTGGTGCCCATAGCACAGTGGTTACAGTACCGGCCACATGCACCAAGGGTGGTGGGTTCAAACTCGGCCCTGGCCTGCTAAACAACAATGACAACTACAACCAAAAAATAGCCAGGTGTTGTGGTGGGTGCCTGTAGTCCCAGCTACTTGGGAGGCTAAGGCAAGAGAATCACTTAAGCCCAAGAGTTTGAGGCTGCTGTGAGGTGGGACGCCCCAGCACTCTACTGAAGGAGACATGGTGGAACTATCTCAAAAACAAAAACAAACAAATAAGAAAAAAAACAACCAAAAAAACCCTTTCTATAAGGTTCCCACTATTGTAGTTTTGACCTTCTAAAAGTTCCTGAGATATAAGTTCTTGAGTTTTCTGTCATATTTTTCCTAATCCTAAATATAATCCTATATACAATAACTATATACCAATACCAAACTAGAATAGGAAAGGATCGTATGGCTTCCGAGTTAGTGTTATTATCCCAATGACGTGAAAACCAAACAGAACAGTGAAATGACAAACCTAAGTGATCAGGTAGCTTAAGTAAAACCTAATATATTGGAAGGAAAGCTAGAGGTTTTGCTCTTAAAAATAATAAAATCTTATCTGTTTGATTCAAACTTCAGATTAATGCTTACTGAGAAATGTCAGTATGTCTCCTTAAGATGCACATTTTATAAAGTGAATCTTCTAAAATAGTAAAAAGAAGATAATGCAGATTCGAAGTTTTATTATTCCACCTAAGGAAAAAAAAAATGTCATAATGATGTTTAACTATCAATGTATAGAACAAAATTATATTGCTCACATGATACGGGGAAGAAACACATACTTACAGAAAAGGAAATTTCAACAGTCTACGTGTAGAGTCTTCACTAAAACAAAAGAGGAAAAAGGGTGAGAAAAATTTAAATTGGCTACTGAATTATACCACCCAACAGAGAAACAGAATTACCTTCTAGTATCTCTATATAATGGAATGCAGATTGCTTGATTCATTGATTTTCCAATTACATCCTAGATGGGATTTAAAAATATAATTAGAGCATTTATATGCACAAAGATAGTCTACATAAAGTGACCAATCATCACTGCCTAAGTGTAGAAAAAAATCATCTGTATCACCAAACCTGGCACAGAAGAAACTTTAATAACAAGTATAGCATAAGGAAGAGAGAAAACTTTGCACTCAAAAGGACCTTGGAGCTCAGCCCTGGGGAGGTTAAAGACCACCTCTCTCTACTCTCACTGCAGCCTCATTCACACTCTGCGCAGTAAACATGAGCTACAGCAGGTCTGTAACTAAGACCACTTCCAGTGCATTTGTTCTGGGAGAAAATGAAATATTCACAACACCAATGCTTTCAGTAATGTCATATTTTTAAAAAGGTATGTAAGAAACTAACAAGATGACATATTAGGTCGAACCATATGAAACTGCTACTTTTATTACTCAGAAACAGGTGAATACCAGCATTTTCATACAGCTCACTGTTATAACTAAGATCACGTACATAAGTGAGACATACTGTATAAAAGATATTGTTCCACACAAAGACATGCATTTCCTTCAAACTTACTGCTGGTTTTTGCAAACACTGATCAATGATGTTCTCCATCCGTCTTTTCACAAAATGCAATGATTTTCGAGGATAATAAGGAAACAGCAAAGGACTGTCTGGTTCAAACAAAAACAAAAACAAAAAGCTATAGCAAACCGAAGATTGGGAGGAAATAAAGTTAGAGCCAGCCTGCAGTTTACCTCACAGTGGAACCCTGGCCACTTCTTAATATTGTCACACAATCTCATTCAAAATGACCACAGCCTCTGCCTTTCATCATCCCTGCTGCTGGCCTGCTAAAAACAACCCCACTTAGCACATACTTAGTTCCGCCAAAATCCCACTGTATGTTTCTACTGGCCATGAGAAGAAAGGAATAGCTCTGAGAACCCTAAGCTAGAGAAGGAAATAAAGCTCCTTCTTCTCGACTCTTTGCCACAGTGAAATGACAACAGCAGCCCCGTTTGTAAGTCTCTAAGAGACTAGAAACTAACCCCATGTGAATAAGCATTTTGTAAAACTCTACTTTATCAGGAACAGGTAAAACACCCTCTCTATAATTTAGCATCTATAGACACCTACTATGCCAAGTTCTTTTTTTATCTGCTATTTCTATTGCTTACAACAGCCACACAAAAAAGACTTCAGTCTTTTCTAATTTACAGACTGAAAGAAAAACAAAGCTTAGCTTTAGGCAACTGACCAGTGTGAAAACAACTAAGGATCCAGATCTAGGACTCAGCCCCAAGTCTGGCTCTCAAGCCCATCTGCTCCCGCTGTGCTCTGCAGGCCTGCCTTACATCAAGCTAGGTTGAATAAAATGAATTCTAATCAGGTCAACATTGTATGCTCCGAACAGGTGAGAGGTGCCCCCTCTGTCCCCAGTTCCTAGAGGGGAGCTCCTAAAACCCCTGGCATTTCCTGAGTGATAAGGGTGACAGGAGCAGCTTTTGTTTTAATGAGGTGATTCCCGGCCAACTCCTAGACAGCTTCAGGAGCAACTGGTCACCAGAAAGACCAAGGCTTGATGAGAAGCTCACAACTTTCAGCTCTACCCCAACCTCCAGGGTGGGAAAGGAGCTGCAGGTTGAGCCCAACCACCACCAGCCAATGATTTTATCAACCATGTCTATGTCATGGGACCCCCATAAATACCCCAGATCAATGGGGTTCGAACAGCTTCTTGGCTGGTGAACAGCTGAGGTGCTGGAAGGATGTGGAGCTATGCGTCTCTCCTTCCTTAACACACTGCTCCTATTGCTGCTCCTGAGTTCTGTCTTTATAACAAACCAGTAAACTGCTTCCCAGAGTTTTATGAGCCACTCTAACAAATTATCCAGCATGACATGGGGAGGGTTGTGGGAACCCTGGACCTTAGTGCGGTGACTTGGGACCCTGACGCTGGAGAGTGAAGTTTGACACGAGTGAGGGTGGCCTCGTAGGAGTCTCATTATAGGACTGGAGGCAGAACTGGCTGGTGTGAGGAGGGGAAATAGCTCTCATTTTGTATGAGAAGCACTGAGTGAAACATCTCAGGTACAACTGTGCGCAAAGTCATCTAGATTAACTTAGTTATTCTGCACAACGGCTTTCTGAGGGAGGAGTTGTTATCATCTTCATTTTACAGATGAGAAAACTGGAGCACGGACTCATCAGACAACTTGCTCCCCGAACTGCTACCATAGCAAGACTCCAATCCAGGAATCCAGTGTCCCCAGCACTGACCTCTACCCATCAAGCAAGACGGGCTCTCTCATGTGCCCCAAGGAAGGACATGGATCAAATATTTAGCACTTGATTTTTGCCAAGTGTTACAGAAGAAAGTTCACTGATGTTTCCCTAACAGTTCTATAATGGCAGCTGGTATTATTTCATACCAGACTAAGAAACTGGGAAATTAATAGACTTGTCCAAACTCCCCACGAGCAAAACCTTGAGCACTTAAGAAATGGGGTTAATCTGACGTACACGTGGCTAAACGTTACTTCTGTGGCTAAGAGCAGACCTTTCTTATTCAGACATGTAAGATGGGGGGAGAAGGACCCATTTTCAGCCCAACAAACCAAAGTTCCCGGGATCAATATTAGCCAATACAGACCCAGGGTTGAGGCACCAATGCTGTCACACGGCCACCAGCCTCCCCTTTCCTTACTCCTTTTGCATTTTAATTAAATACAGTAAATGAGTGGAGTCAGCTGTACCTTTATTCTTCCTCCATTCAATAGCTAACTTACATCAATGAATCTCTCTAGTGGTCTTAAGTCTCTCGAGCAATACAAAATAGGTCCTGCTCAGAAAAAGAAGTTGGACTTCTAAGGTTCAAACAAAAAGCCATAAGCAAAGTTCCAGGCATCAAAGAATTCTCTCCCTTAGTCCTTCAGTCAGTTGTTCATATAAGCAGTAACCAAAGAGAAGCGGCAGAGATCACTACAGACTGCGTATCCTCATTCACAATGCTCAAGACCAAAAGCATTTTGAACTTTTTCCAATTTTGGAATATTCATTCATATTATGATGTATGAACCTTGGGAGTGGGACACAAAATTCATTTATATTTCATATACATCTTTTTCTGATAGCCTGCAATTACTTTTATACAATGTTTTTAGTAACAATAATAAAGATTATGATGTTGTTAGGGCTTGGGACTGGTCATCTGAGGTCAGGCGTGCAATTTTCCACTGTGGCATCATGTCAGCACTCCAAGAGTTTTAGAGCTTGGAGCATTTCAGATTTCAGCTTTTCAAAGTAAGATCCTCAACCTGTACTGAGTCTAGTTAAAACCTCAGGCTCTGACGTGAACAGAATCCCAGTTGCATCCCTCAGCAGCCTGTGCAACCTTGGGTCTTCTCCACCTGGTTCCTCACTGCTAAGTGGAGAAACACCCACCCCACAGGTTCTCCCAAGATTAAAGGAGCACCAGCATGGGTGGCAGAGTAAGAACTGCGTAAAAGTTAATTACCTATTACTCTAAGACTTGAAGAAACTGCTAATCTGTAGTCAGATTTTTTCTTGAAAAAAAAAAAAAAAGCAAAGAAACATCTATTTTAAAAATATTCTCATCTAAAATGGTAAGAAGTTTTGAAACATTTAAAGGTTGCTATTATGTGCTGCATCACTAACAACGTGAAATAATTTTACTTTATTAACATTTTGAGGTCCTAGACAATGAAACGTATAACGAGTACACATAAAAAACAAAACTACAACCTCAGAAGAACAGGGTTAAGCCTCAGTGTCTTTTAGGGGTTAATAAACTAGAAGTGGCGAGGCAGACACCCCTCACTGGTTAGCTCTCTGGTGCTCCCTCAACACTGTTTTATAGGGTATACAACAGAATACAAGAATACTTAAGAATCTTATTACTACACAATTTCAAAGCAATTTCTGTCATGGCGGTGTTACATACAATTGGTTATTTTGCTGTTTCTCTAACCAAATACAAGGGACACAAAAAATAAGTCCAGTGAATTTAGATCAGTATTCAGCCAAACTGTCAGCTGATCTACTCAAGACCTGTCTCAAGTAAACATAAACACGATCAAAGTCGACCTTGTTCAGGAAATACCTTTAAGGTGGCTGCTATTTTGAAGAAAGTCATACCACTGGTTTCCCTGCGTGTTAGGGGGCGACACAAGATCATCATCTTCATCTTTCAAGTACTAAAAATACAGAATTAAAAACTTAAATTTAGTAAACCAAACAATCAGACTACAAAAACTGTTTATATTTAACATTTTTCTATTTAATAAGTTATTTTGTTCTATTCCAAAGCTCTTGGTATGACTATTATTCTAAGTGAACAAAAGTTTGCTAAATGCCAAGCATTTAAACAAAATGAAAACTACTAAAAGACTCCAATGTTGTAGATGTAGCAGCCACAGAGTTCCAATTTTGTGCTTCTCTTTCACAAACATACTTTAAGTCAGACATCAGTTTTACAAGCATCAGCTGTTAATATACTCTATGGAAGCTATTCTCCGAATTGGTCTGCAGACCCCCGGAAGTCCCCAAGATGCTATGAGGGATCCACAAGGTCAGTTCTAGGTTTATATCAACACCAAGAAGTTACTTGCCCCTGTCACTGTGTTGATGTTTGCACTGATGGTGGGGCAAACTGCGGGTGCCTTTGCCAAGAGCAAAGGTAGTGGTTCCAAATCATACGAGGAGTCATCGTATTTTGTTTTATTTGTTTTTTTGGCTGTATATTCATAGTACCATTGATCTTTAATGAAAGTATTAATTAGTAATTTTATTAACGCTCAACCCTTGAGTACAAATCTTTACTATTCTGGGCAACATAACTGAGAGGTGACTACTAGAGTATAATGGTTGTCTTAAGGAAAAAGCACTTATGAAACTTGGTTACGAATGAAGACAGACACTTTTTAAAAAATGGAATTACATTTTTACTTGAAAGAATGACTGGCAAACTATGGGGTTTGTTCACCCTTGGGTAGTTGACAGATTCTTTTTGAAAATAAAGTGACCCTGTCATTTTGACTGAAACACTGCAGTTATTTGTTGGCAATGATATAATTTAAAAGCAAAAATTAAAATTTGGGAAAACCTGCATCTGCACTGCGACCTTGACGGCATCACAACATGTCAGACTTTTCTGATTAGGTGGGGCTATTAACGCAATCCGAGCTTTGATTACTACACCATGGAAGGCAGCAGAATTCACAAGAGCTCCATGACTCAGAGAACCGGAACATTTTTCCAAAATGACCAATGCAAGTGGTTAAGGAATCACACGTGGACGAAAGATCCATCCAAAGTGCAAGGCAGATGAATGGATTTTAACGTGACAAAATATAAAAAGTTCACCAGTGTAATTTTAGATCCCACATGGAAACTAACCTTTCAGATACTATCACTTGTCAAGACTTCATGTAGTATTAAAGAATACCCATAATCATCCAGGAAAGTTGACTTCTCCCTGTCCACCTACATAACCTCTGTGAGACCAGGTTTTCTTTATGTACATTACAGACAACTTATCAAAACAGAACATAGAAGCAGATGATGAGAATCCACCTGTCTTTTTTTTTTTGAGACGGAGCCTCAAGCTATCCCCCTGGGTAGAGTGCCATGGCATCGCGCTCACAGCAACCTCCAACTCCTGGGCTCAAGCGAGTCTCCTGCCTCTGCCTCCCAAGTAGCTGGGACCACAGGCGCCCGCCACAACGCCCGGCTATTTTTTGGTTGCAGCCGTCATTGTTGTTTGGCGGGTCCGGGCTGGGGATTCGAACCCGCCACCTCAGGTGTACGTGGCTGGCGCCCTAGCCGGTTGAGCCACAGGCGCCGAGCCAGAATCCACCTGTCTTAAGTGAGACATCAAAGAGATTTCCAAGAATATAAAAACAATGCTACCTTCACTAAATTATTTTGTGTTGTAAAATACCATTATTTTATACTAATAATATCTGTATTAATATGTAATGGTTAAGTTTATTTATTTTTTTTTTTTGCTTTTGCAGTTTTGGGCTGGGGTTGGGTTTGAACCCGCTACCTCTGGCATATGGGGCTGGCGCCTTACTCCTTTGAGCCACAGGCCGCCCTGGATTTGTTATTTTTAAATGAATTATGAAATAATATTTTATTTTGTTTCATTTTTAATTCCTAACGACACCTATTAGTGACAGATAATCCACATCAACAAAAGCTCTTTTCACGTCCTCAATAATTTTTAAGAATGTAAAAGGGTTCTGAGATCAAAGTTTAAAAACTGCTATTCTTTATTTTACCAAAAGGGCAGGGCTACTATGTAACTTGGCACTGTATTACTTTCCATAAACTTCAGATAATAAAAATTAACATTGCTAAGCTTTTCAAATTAGTTCTTAAATATCAAAAAAGAGAAGCTGGGTATGGTGGCTCACACCTGTAATCCTAGCACTACGGAGGTCAAGGTGGGTAGACTGCCTGAGCTTAGGAGTTCAAGACCAGTCTGAGCTAGAGTAAGACCCCATCTGTAAAAATAGCCAGGCATAGTGGAGGGTGCCTATAGTCCCAGCTACTTGGGAGGCTGAGGCAGGAGGATTGCCTAAGCCCAAGAGTTTGAGGTTGTTGTGACTATGATGCCACAGCATTTTACCCAGGGTGAAGAGTGAGACTCTATCTCAAAAAAAAAAAAAAAATCAAATAAGAGTAGTGATAACTAAATTTAGTCCAAAGGCCATACATACCTGACCAACTCTTTCAACATTAAAGTATTTTCCTTTCCGATCATAAAGGTCTGGAGCCTAAAAAGAATTAACATAGTTTAACTCTAAAGTCAACTCCCAAAAGAAAAACTCTTAAATTTAAACCATAACTTTATTATTATTTTCTTTTTTGGCCAAGCTGGGTTTGAACCCACCACCTCTGGCATGTGGGGCCGGTGCCCTTCTCCTTTGAGCCACAGGCGCTGCCCAACCATAACTTTATTTTTTAAGAGAGCTGCTAGTGGCAGTTACTCGTTTATGCATTGTAAAACACACAAATAAAGTTCAATTTATAGATTTTATGCTTAATTAATAAGTATAAATTAATTTGTTCAAGTTCTTCAGCAGTTTAAAGAAAGTAATGGCAAAAGACCTCAATTGTGTTAAATTTAATTCATTCTTATTACCCAGGTTTACTGCAACCACTTCCAAAAATCTGCAGTATAGAAATACTAATGTCTTACCTCATTGAAATGTTCAGTAAGAAATTCAGCAACAAATGTGATATCTTTCTGAGTCATCTATCAACAACAAAAGAAAGCAAATCAAAAATAAAGGACCATTTCCCCCATAAAAGAAATAAATGTGAGCTTTTTACTATCTACTAAAAGTCATAGGAAAACAGGCACAGTTCCATCAAAGAAATTTAGATTATGAACTATGAACTCTTAGGGTTCTGGGAAGAACGTAATCAAACATTTAAACTTAATTTCCAATCAGCTAATCCAATGGCTATAGAACCCCTTATGGCCTATGTGGCTGGTTGTTTATTATTTTAGGACCTGTGGGCCATGGTCCCTCGTTTGGGAAGGAAATCTGTCAGCCTAGACAGGCAGCCTCACAGCCTCAGTTCAAAGCTGCACGTTAACAGCCCTGGTGGCTTCAGTGTCAGCTCCTCCCTGCTCTGACAATGACCTTGCCTTCACCCTGCTCCAATTCTTCAGCTCTCAAAAGATTACACATTAAGATCTCTCTGAATAATTAACAATTCTAAGGAAGATTCTTAATCTTCTAAAATAATGCTAACAGTGATGTCAGAAAAACTATTGTGAAACTTCCCTGGTTTGCAAGGCCAGTCACCCATACTGCACAAGTTCTACATGGTACAAAAGGTGTACAAAGTGGAGGATCTCTCACTCATCCTGTGCACACAGGCTAATAATTCTAATGTTGTCCACTCAGGCGGAAAATTAACTAATCTATCTGAACAGTTTGGGAAGGGGTGAGGAGAGGTGGGTCCCAGAAATCAAATGGGAATTCTGCCCTCTTCTGTACAATCTCCCTGGAAGAAGATTCCATTGCCACTTGTCACAATCCCTACAGTTAGAAAGAAATTTGCTTACCAGACAATCAGCACACGTACTGCTATGTAAGTACTTGACTTCCAAAGAAAACAATGCATTTAAGATTTAGGGAAATCAAAGTAAGAAACACAATAAGGTTGCTACCTTACATAGATTATAAAACCTTATTTAAACATGAAATTTACAAATTTAGATAGTCATAACAAAGGTATCCATGAGATGAAAAACTACAAAACTGCCAATTAAAAAAAATAAAATGTTTAAGAGATCTAATGTCCACAGCCTAACATCCTGTTAACTAGTAACTGAGTAAGAGTTCCAAGGTGACCTCAGCCAGGACAATTATCAATACGTTATAAAAATCCACTGGTACGAACGACCTTGTTAAGCTCGGGAAGCACGTGGTCTTCTGTCATCCTCAACATTGCTGGAGAGAAAAAGTTAAAAAACTATCTTTAAAACATAAAATATAGGTTTAATTATAAATACATTTCAAATGTGTTTTACTGGGCTAAATCTTCTATTTTAAACAGCGTCTTTTCATTTAGCAAAACTTTTCTTCCAAAGCCAAAAGGTGAAGGCTGGGTGTGGTGGCTCACATCTGTAATCCCAGCACTCTGGAAGGCTGAGGCAGACAGATGGCCTGAGTTCACAGGTTCAAGATTAGTCTGAGCTAGAGTGAGATCCGGTCTGTAAAAATAACCTGGCATTGTGGCGGGCCCCTGTTAGTCCCAGCTACTTGGGAGGCTGAGGCAAGAGAATCACTTGAGCCCAAGAGTTTGAGGTTGCTGTGAGCTATGACCCCATGGCACTACCAGGGGGCAACAAGTGAGACTGTCTCAAAAAAATAAAAATAACTTGTTAACTACCTTCCCAAACACAAGATCCTGCAAAGATGGAAAGAATGACCACAAGTGGTCCAAAGAGTGAAGAACTTAAATTTGAATATTTTCAGGTTGAAAACTGTTGGTCTAACAACACTCTTGTTTTTGTTTTGTTTTTTTGAGACAGTTTGACTCTGTCACCCTGAGTACAGTGCCATGGCACCTGTACCTCACAGCAACCTCAAACTCTTGGGCTTAAGAGATCTTCCTGCCTCTGCCTCCCAAGTAGCTGGGAATATAGGCCCCTGCCACTACGCCTGGCTAGTTTTTCTATTTTTAGTAGAAATGGGTCTCTCTCTTGCTCATGCTACTCTTGAACTCCTATGCTCAAGCAATATCCCTGAGTGCTGGGATTATAGGCGTAAGCCACCGCACCCGGCCTGACCATTCTACGCTCTAAACTATTACTTTTCTTCTTCCTCAATTCAATCCATTGCTACTCAAGACAAACACATTTAACTGCTGTTATTCTTTACTCCAAAATCTCACAATACCAAAGCAACATTTATTTCCCTTGGCCTTTTTTGCTGCATGAAGACATCGGCACTAAGATTTACATATATATACCCATACTGACATTTATATACTTGTCTTTCATCCAGTATCTGTGGTTGACTTTCTGTCCTTGTGTAGGGTTGCCCCCATGGGCACTGTGTTCCTTCAAGCACATCCACCTGAGTCGAGACTAAGTATGTCACATGTGCTTTTGCATAGTGTTTGAACACAACTGTTTGTTCAGTAAAAACCATGTCAGAAGTACCCTGGCAAATATGGATTATTTTAGAAACTGTTTTTCATTAATTCAAACTTCTAAATTATCTGAAAAAGGAGCTAAACTTTAGTTCCATTCATTCATATCCATCCAAAAAAAAAACTGAGCATGCTTTAGGCGCCAGGGGTACATCAGCATAAAAGAAGTCCCTGCCTATTTATGGGGATTACACTTTACAAAACAGAAAACCAAGGTTATGGAGCTACTGGTGGCAGGGCCAGGATTACGCTAGGCCTTAGGTCTCCAGTTCTCCAAACCAGTATACTTTTTATAATGTCCTGGTCAAATTATAAAGATTCAGCAGTAATTCATTTTTCTTCTATTCCTAATTCTTATTACATTTAGGACCTACAATCATAGAAACAGGGCCAGGCATGGGGGAGCACGTCTGTAGGAAGCTACTGAGGAGGCTGAGGCAGGAGGATCTCTTGAGCCCAGGAGTTTGAGATTGCAGTGAGCTACAATGATGCCACTGTACTGTAGCTGGGTGATAGAGTCAAACTCTGTCTTGAAAAGAAAAAGAAATATTTTTTAAAAAGCAAATATAGGCCAGGTACAGAGGTTCATGTCTGTAATCCTAAAACTTTGGGGGGGGTTAAGACAAGAGGATCAGTTAAGCCCAGGAGTTTGGGGTTGCAATGAGCTATGATGATGCCACTACAATTAGCCTAGGCAACAAACTTGTCTCAAATAAATAAATAAATACTGCCTCAATTGCCCTCCAATCAATGTAAGAAAAACCAAACTACTACTTCTGTCAAAGAAAATGATTCCATTTTTTTTTGCAGTTTTTGGCAAGGGCTAGGCTTGAACCCACAACCTCCGGCATATGGGACCAGCGCCCTACTCCTTTGAACCACAGGCGCCGCCCAAAGCAAATGATTTCTAAGGTCTCGTTCAGTTTTAATATTGTAATTTATTCTGATTATTAATAACGTGGATCTTGAACAGGCTGGCTGATAAACACTCCAGTTCCTCATTATGGCTACCACTGGAACAGTTTTTAGAAAAATCTAAAAATTTTTAAGTATCAACATCTGCAGATCACATTCAGTTTTTAAACAAAATCAATTATATTAGGCTGAAAAATATGAAGCCTACTTTTATAATATTAAAATTGAACATATGGGCATTTGTTAAGAAGATGTTAGAACATTACATTGCCGGTAATTTACTTTCTATTTCCTCTTCAGGAATTTTAACGACTATAAGACAAATTCCATTTACACTAAATTTTGCACATGTGTTGGAGGGAAGTGTATGCTGGATTATTTTAAGGATATGGAGAGGTTTCAAAACATGCAGTATAAACGGACTCAAATAAAACATGCATACACTGCAGTGTGAATACTAAAACAGTTCTTATCAAGTCAATGAATACTTGTTAACTACCTTCCCAAACACAAGATCCTGCAAAGATGGAAAGAATGACCACAAGTGGTCCTCACTGTCCTTAGCTGGGGCATTGCTGCCTGAGAGCAGTGAACGCAAGTGTGCTATTTCTATGCTGCTATAACCATGTGTGGCTACAGAGAACCTCAAATGTGACCAGTATGAATAAGGAACCAAATACATAACTTCTTATCATTTAAAGCTACTTAAATAGCCACATGTGGCTAGTGGCTACTATACAGACAGCCAAGATCGCAAGACAGAGGACCAGAGTACAGAACATGAGCAACCCCAGGGCACAGGCTGTCTCTTAGATTTTACTTTTTCAATCTAGCACCTAACAGTGCCTAATATATAGCAGGGATTAAAAAATGTTTTTTAACCTAAGGAGATATTATAAGATAAAAAAGAGTGACCTGTCAATGAGTGATAAGGACAAGAGTTGCTCTAGTATTTCTGTGGGGAATGTTTCTGGCATGAAGACAAGACAAAGGTTTAAGGTAATGGATATCCCAAATTCACTGACATGATCTTTACAGATTATATGAACGTACTAAATTATCACACATCCCCCGGACGTGTGATACACACACCCTATCACACATCCCCCATCTATTACATATCAATAAAAATACTTTAAAATATTTCTGAGGGGAAGTGGGCCTGGGTGGGGGCACAGACTGGCTACATGTGACAGCTGCTGACGCTGGGGGAAAGTCCAAGGCGTTCATTGTGCTGCTCTCTCTACTTTTATCAGTATTTGAAATTTTACTGGAGTAGTTTTAACAGTCTCAGATGATATTCTCACAGCTTTTTAAAAGTGTTAAAATAAGAATGCGTCACTCAATTAACTTACCCACATATAGCCACCGAAAAAAGGCTTTGAAGTTTTTCATACTACTATCTATAACTCTAAAAAGATAAAAATAAAAGAAATCAGAAATAAGATCATCAGGTGGGGGTTGATGTATCATTGTTTAACTGTCTTGGAATATAATTATCCTTACCATGCTATTTTATCCTATCTAGATGACGTTTAAGTCCTTAGGGTAACAGATTTTACAAATCAAACACACATCTAAAAATAAACTTCAAAATCACAAATCCTGATTCTTCTCAAGAATAAAGCAAATAACTTAGATTCTAACTGGTTACAAAGCCTGCTAATATAGCACAAAATGTGTAATAGTCTTTTCTAGACTTTAGTAAAGTATGAAATCTTTTTCTAACTTTGCAAATAAATCAGGAAAAAACAGTTTTTAGCATTTTATTCCCAGTTGAAAAGAAAATGCTCACTGGTCGGTAACAAGAAAAAACATCAACTCTAACAGGAAATCATTATTATAAATTTGTACCATGCCACAAAGTCTAATAGTGGACATTACTTTTGGAAGCTGAGTTTTGGTTCTGACAAAGACTGAGATCTCAAAAATTGAATTTCCCTGGGCTTTATGCAAATGAACCTAAAAAATTAAATGTTATAAGTGGAAGTCACCTTCATTTTGGTAAAACTCTCTTTATAGAGATGGGTATCATGTTTTAAACATCTTTTTACGCTTACATCTATAAGATAATTACTCTAAGACAGTAATACCTGCTTTTCTCATTCCTCAACCTCAAAGCCCTCTCTGGGCATTAAGTTTCACAATAGTACTGGAGAGGCAGGTCAGTATCATTAACCTTTCTGCACAAAGTAAAACACTTGAGACAAAGATGGTGACGTCTCTTATGTTGCCAAGGAACATAATCCAAACTCTCTCGCAGCAAGAATTCTTTTTTAAAAGTTCTTTTGTGTCTTTCCCAATCAAGACCCTCACTCTACCCCAGGCAGTCAGACTAACATCAAGATTCTCAATGCCTCAGTTTCCCCATCTGCAACCTACAAAAACTGTACTTACCCGAAAAGAACAAGAAGTTAAATTACCTTTCATTCATACCGAAAGGGGATCACAGAAAGCCTAATATTTTACATTTGCTCTCAGCAAATATGAACCAAAAAAATACTTCAAAATCCAGGAAAAGGAATGTCATTTCTCCTTTCATTTTGTCTTCTGAGTTCAAAGCATCTGTAACCTCTGCCTTCTAAAGCCCCATTAAAATGATAGCAGATGGAGAGGTAGTTTCTACATGTTAGAAACTCACAAAAACAAAGAGAACAATGGAAAATAAATTAAATTTCATAAATGTCAAAAATGGACTCGGTGACTAAGGAAGCTCAACAATGCAGGCCATGTTGCAGGCAGATGGAGCCCCCACCACCCTGGGGAGCCCAGACATTGGCAACGTCAGGTTCAACATCAGGAGATGCCAGGGTGACGTGCGGAGCTAGGCACAGGCAATGCCCTGACAATCTAACACAGAGGTCAATGTGTTCTTGGCCCCAAACATGATGAATGCCTAAGGGTTTACCTTCTAATCAAAAGAAAACATAAAGAGGGCTCGTCACAGACACTGAATAAACTGGGAAGAGCTGAGGCCCTTCTGCGCGGGCAGAGACCGCCGGCTCAGGTGCCAGCTCCCTGACATCCCTGCATGCAGAGATTCCAGGCAACTTTAAGTCGCTCCATGAATGATATGAGTAAACAACCAAGCATCAGGTATTTGAGGAAAGCTTGTCACAAGAGATCAAGATAAACAGAAAAGTGACCCACGAAGTAGGGTAATACAAGGAATACAGACTTTCAAAAAATCTAATATCCTCAGAGATTTAAAAAGATGCCCGCCACATTCACAGAACGAGAGAATTAAAGAAACAAGAGAACACTTTAGGAAATTAAAAGACAGAACTGCCATAAGAAATTCAACAGAATGGTTCAGGTAAACCACCTTGTCCTGCAACCCTCCTTAGCTACTTAAAACCTTCCAGCTCCACATTCTCGGCGAGGCCTCCCTGACCACCTACACAGAACTGACCCCGGCCCCAGCATGCCCTGTGTCTTTCTTCCCTGCACGGGCCTTCTCACTACTGCTTGTCACTATCTGACTTACTATACACTTTAATTATCCACTTGGTTACTGTCTGTCTCATGTACATTAGAATACAAGACCCATGAAGGCAGGATTTACATTAGTTTTATTCACTCTTATACACAATTAAGTGTTCAACAAATGTCTACTGACGAGTGACAGCCATGGACAATAAAGTAAAAAAAAAGACAAAGGTATGAAAAATAGGAGAAAAAATAAGGGACAGTTTTGATCCATTCATGGATCAATCCATGAATTCTAGTAAGTGACCAAACAGATTTCTAGAACAAAAGTCTATTTTAAAAGTGAGGCAGAGAAAGAAGAGGGAATTATCAAAATAAGAACACAGAAGTCAGGTTAGAACGGCTCTTTGTTATTCAGCACAATAAACAGAAAGACTCCTATCTAAAAATGCTGTTATGAAATTTCAGCACATCAAGGATGGAGACTAAAGCTTTTAAAGATAAGAGAGGTGGAAAAAACCTACAAAGGAATGAGAATCAGAAGCACTAGGCCGTCTATCAAAAGGTCCAGAGTACAATGAACAATGCTTTTAAAGTTCTGTAAGAAAATGATTTCCCCCTCAGAATCCTAAATCCAGCTAAAACCATCAAGTGTGAGGGCTGGAGAAAAGACATGAAAGGACATGAAAGATTTACCTTCCATCTGCTTTCTAAGTTAGTGGAGGATGTGTCCCAGCAAAATGATTAAACATGCCAAGAAACAGAGGCTCTCCAGGCAGATCTAATGCACGAGAGCCCTGGGGACGAGGCCTACGGGGCGCTATGCAGGACAGCTGCAGCACAGCTGTGGACGCAGAGGGAAGGGAGGCTAAGGAGGCAGCTGGGTGGGGCAACTCCAGAGACAAGACACAGCCCTTCAGATGGGAAAGGACAGAGGCGAGGGGTGGAAAGACAGAATGCAAGAAGGTAAGCCACACAGCCTAGGAAAAACAAAACAGAGGAATTTCTAAAACTTGATAAACAAGAAAATACAGTAAACTTGTAGCATTCAGAAATATGGAAGTGAGCCATGGAAGAATCAAAAACAGAAATATTTACATTGTTAAATGATTCCTTTTGGAGAGAGGGGACCTGGGGTCAGGAAAATATAAAATCTTTACTTTATAAAATCTCTGTGCTACTGGCTTGTTTAATCATGTTAAAGCATAATTTTGATAAAATTTTAAAACTTGCTTTAAGAAAATGATGACAACTTACTAAGTTCTTAAGGTAAGTAAAAAGTGAGGTATTTGCAGGTCAGTGATTCTAGGTAGCCCCAATACTTACTGAAGAAGTTCATTTGCCTTGAGGATAAAAGAACCCACAGCAGTAATAGCATCTAAAGGAAAAATATAAACATCACTTGTCGAAGAAGTAAATTGTGCTTTAATGCATTCCATTGAAAAATTAAATGACTACCTTCAATTCCTGCAGCATCTAGTCCAAGAGGTTCATATTTTTGCTTCCACGAAGCCATTCCTTTCAATTCACTCAAATGGTACAATAAAGATTCTGAGCCACTACCAAAACAGAGCAGAAATAAATTAGTATCGTTACCATCACTGAGCTACTTCCTTGCCTGAAGTTCATTCTACATTTTCAGAAATAAAAACTGAAAGCAACTTTTAATTTTCTTTCTACAAGCAATTATTTCTCAAAACAATTTTGAAAAACTGAGGCAGAACCATTTGGTCGTCATTGACTACTGACATAAAATACATGACAGTATTAAATTGTGTAAGATGATCAAATTATGTTCCACAGTTTGTCCTGGTGCTTTTTAGATAGTCAGATGGCCACCGTGTCCACCAAACAACTACATATTCAACATGTAACAAATATTTATAGACAAGCATCTTCCAGAAAGCAAGAGAGCTGTACTAAAGCCGTAGGTAGGAGACAAAATGTCCAAGTTGAGAAAGTGAAGGGCCACCAGTGTGACTGGGGCAGACACGCTAAAGGCTGTGCAAAGGTCTCTGTTCTAAGAACAATGGGAAGGTATTAGAAGTTTTTCATTAAGAGAGTTCACACAGTCAGACCCATGAAGATTGCAACAGAACCACCAGTCTGAGGGAGCTGCACTGGTCCAAGGGATAGGTGCTGGTAGCTAAGGCCAGGGACTCAGCATAAAGGGATTTATAAAATTTAAAACACTCAGCATCCACTTGCAAACTACTTCACTGAAATAGCTATAGATTTAAAAATATATGAGACTTGATCTCGTCTTGGCTTTGACATCAATAAAAACTCTGAACAAGTTTCCTCTTGTGTAAAATGAGGATGATAATAATCTACACCTTGCCAAGGGGTCAAATGAAAAAGTTTACAATATGCTTTGTAAACTGTAAAATGTTCATTTAAATGTTCAAAAAGGGGAATATGCCCTATTTCAAAATACACCAATATACCTCATGGTTAAGTCAAAAATGGCCAGACAGGATCTAGCCTTGGTGAAAAGATGCTGGAAAATCATTCCATAATGCAGAGTTATCCTTATTGACTCTTTAAATCTCAGGTACACCAAGATTCCTCTCAAACACCAATGCAATAAATTTTGCTGGAAATTATAGATCAAAAAGAGAATGCCAGATGAAAAGAAGGAAGCTGCAGAAAGAAGACCGATGTTATGCACATGCAGATGCAACACCAACAAATCCCACATCCCCTTCATACCTCTGTAAGTGACTTATAACCAGTTTTTGTATACTGGAATATGACGACTCTATAGACTGGCCAAGCTTTTTTAAACCCTAATTAAGAGAAGAAAATATATTTAGCATACAATCAGGACTCTATATGCCACTCTAAAAAAACCGTTAAGAATGTGTTCGTAGCCATTTAAATTAATATAGATACTTTAAATGCACCTTTACTGTTAATTGGTTCATCAAGAGAGTCTGAAGTTCAGCACTATAATGAAAAAGAAAGTATGTTTAGTCATTTCTCTATTCAAAAATCTGTATGCATTACTTAAATTCTAAATTTCAAAGCACAGATTTTGAAATGAAACAAATGGCCCAACAAAAATTAAGACTTTTTGTACACACAAAGAAACAAACAGAAAACAGAATACATTAAAGTCTAAAATCAGACTGAAATGTGTATAAATATGAGGCTGTATTGTAAGCTGAAGCAGAATTTCCTATCTGTCGGGAGAAAGTATAATGCTCAATAATCAAATGTGGCAATTATCTAAATGTTTAAGAAAAAACACGTTAGCCTTTTATAGCATATAACCAAATAAATCACATCTAGAATGCAGAAATAGAATAAAATATAAAGCTTAAAAGATCGCTAGAAAAAAATACAAATCAGTCTTTGACTATTCTTAAAATAGGAAAGCTCTTTTTAAGAATAACAGCAAAAGGAGATACCAAAAGAAAAGAAGAGTTTGGCTACATAAAAATCTTAAATGTTTTATACATGTAAAAACACACACACAAAAACATGATTGCCTTCATGTTAAAAAAAAAAAAAAAAGACGTGCACAAGAAAAAACAGATGCACAGAAAAGCCTAGAAAGATATATACTACTTTTGATTTTGTATACCAACATTTACTTTTCTTTTTTCACAATTATTATGAATTACTTTTTTGTGAGACAGGATCTGGCTCTGCTACCTGGGATACAGCACAGGGCATGATCAGAGCTCACTGTAACTTCACACTCCCCAACTCAAGTAATCCTCCCACTTCTGCCTCCCAGACTAACAGGATTAAAGTCCTGAGCCACCTCGCCCGGCCAATTAACATGAATTACTTCTGAAATAAGTAATCTTGGTAAAAAAACAGAAGGAAAAGCGGGAACGCCTAATCAGAGCATGTTACCTTGCTTTCCCCCACAACAGCAGGTGCATAAATTCATCTTGCACTGATGTGGTGGTGTTCTTTTCCTAGACAAAATGAAAAAAAAAAAAATGTGATATGTATTTCTTAAATTAGAAGCCTATTTATTTTTTATTTTTTTTTTTTTTTTTTTGAGACAGAGCCTCCAGCTGCCCCCCTGGGTAGAGTGTTGTGGCATTACAGCTCACAGCAACCTCCAACTCCTGGGCTCAAGCGAGTCTCCTGCCTCCGCCTCCCAAGAAGCTGGGACCACAGGCGCCCGCCACAACGCCCGGCTATTTTTTTTTTGGTTGCAGCCGTCATTGTTGTTTGGCGGGTCCGGGCTGGGGATTCGAACCCGCCACCTTAGGTGTACGTGGCTGGCGCCTTAGCCTGTTGAGCTATAGGCGCCGAGCCAGAAGCCTATTTATTAAAAATTATGGGAACATGACCCTCTCTTTTAGCCTCAAGCTTCCCTCAAACCCATATGTGATCATGTGAACATGAGACTCCCTGCCAGCCAGCAGCTAGGCTTTCTTCCCAAGCCCCATTTCATCACCCTGTCCCCACCTACGCTGCACCAATGAGAAGAGAGCCCTTTGTGTAAATGTGAGAAAACACTGAGGTCAGAATAACCCATTTGAAAGAAATTCATCACTGTAGCCTTTTATAAGCCAAAGACTGATTTTTCTCATATACCTCGCAAAGTGAATACATCATACACTCTAACTCTCTCCATGGAAAGCATCAGTTACGTTACCTGCACAAACTTGGTGAGACGAGAATCCATCTGCATCAGGATTTCTTCCCATGCTTCGCACATACATGTTAGTGACAAATTAATATACTATTAGCAAAAAGAAAAAAATTAAAATAGTGAATATTTAAATCAACTTGCTGGGTAAACAATATGTACTTCTTATGACCAAGTGTCTCAAAGAAATCGAGAATGTATTTTCTAATCCTTTAACTCAAGCTGACAAAAAAAGACCATAGCTAATATTTGGTGATCACTTAACTATAAAAATTCCATAATTCGCAAAACTTCACAAAGACACATCCTATGCATATCAATTGTCAAAATGCTGGTTTGGTCAACTATTCGATATTCAAACAGTCTTCTTAAAAAGATATCAATCTTTAGAAACCTTTGCCATCAAATAAATGAATGAACATGGTAGAATAAAAAACAAGGCTGTAATTCTTTATAACTCTTGTATCCAGACTCAAGAGTGTCGCTTTGACTAACAGAACACAGTAGGAACAATGCTGTTGAATCCAGAGCTTCAAAAGTCTCTGCATGCTGCTTCTTGCACTTTTTAAGCAGGGTCTTGTTCTGTTATTCAGGCTAGAGTGCAGCATTGTCATCGTAGCTCACAGCAACATGAAATTCCTGGACTCAATTGATCCTCTCCCCTCAGCCTCCCAAGTAGCTGGCCCCACAGGTGCATGCCACCAGGCCTTGCTAATTTTTCTAATTCTTGTAGTGATGGGGTCTCACTATGATGCTCAGGCTGGTCTCCAACCCTGGCTTCTTGCAATCCTCCTCCCCTCTGGCCTCCCAAAGCGCTGGGATTACAGGTGTGAGTCACTGCACCTGGCCTACTCAGACTTTTGTTGTCCCTGTCCCACCACCATGTGACAAGCCTGGGCTGGCTTGCTGGAGGGTGATAGATGTGGAGCAGAGACAAAGCCATTACAGCCCAGGGACATATCCCAGCTGGCATGACCAAGTCTAGCCGAGATGAGCTTAACCTGACCCAGATCACCAGAACCTCCTGGCTGAGCTCAGTCCAAACTGCCAAACTGGGAGCTGATTTAGGGTGGGTTTATTATGAATAAACGCTAACCCATACTGAAGACTTTTTCCCACAATACTTTATTTTCAATAAAACATAAGGAGTATTTCATTTATGAGACTATTAAAAGATTTAAACTATTTTTTTTCTTTTCCTTTAGAGGTAGTCAACAGGGTCAGGTGGGAGTAGATAGAGTCTCCATTAAATTTCCTTTTCTTGTTTTAATGGAGATAAGAAAATTAATCATAAGTAGATAAAATACTCCTACTGAAGATGGCTTTACAAAGTAAAATCTTGAAGTTTTTTATTTATGAACTTTAGAAGCTGGTAGTAAATATTCACATAGAGCAAGCTGTAAATAAATACCTGTAAAAGAGCTGAAATATGAGTAAACTTCCTGGCCATCCGAGTTACTTCAGGCAAGAAAGAGTATAATAGATTGGTTTCAAGCTGGAAAGTTAAATGAGTAAAGTGAGTTATAATCAGATGCATTTGCTTCTTTTAAAGATAAATCAATCCTGTTCAGCTCAAGAAATAAAATACTATCATTTAAAAGAGGCTAGGACTATGTATGAGGAAGACTGTCAGAATCCTGCTCCCTCTGAGTATAACAGTTTGAAACTAATAGCACACAGATTTAAGATTTCCTAACCAGTGCATAACTATACACAGGTCACTGTCCCTGAGCCATCAATCTCTTCTATGTAGCTAGAATAAATGTAACCTATTTTGTAACATTATTATTAGGAAATTAAAAAGCGATAATAAACACATGAACTTGAAGTAGAAAATACTAAGGGGTATTAAGAAAATATCTATAACAGTATATGAGTTATATCTCAATAAAGCTGTCATCAAAAAATATCGACAAATTCCTTGCCTGCTTAGTATTCTAAGAAAAAGAAATCTACAAAGTTCACAGTGGTAGTAAATCTTATTAAAGCACAAATATTTAATACAACCCTGGTGATCATAATTTCAGAGAACCTTAAGATGAATAGCAAATACAAACAACCATTATTACAGTGAACCATAAGTTAACAGTTCTCTGATGCTCTGAATACAAGAAAAGAAAATTCTCTGACATTACGAATACACAGGGAATTTTAGAAGACGGTACATGTTGCATCCTGCATCTTTTTTGTTCTACTTTTGTTTGAGAGTTCATACTGACTTAGGGTAAGTGGTTGAGACATTTAATTGAAAATTTTGGAAAGGCTTCTTGGCAAGGCAAGGCTACAATTAAAATACTCTAACGGAACCCAAACTGTTCCCTCAGTCTACAGTGCAGAGTACAATTTAAGAAAAGAAGGTTTTTCCCAATATTAAGTGGTCATTTTACCCATGATAGAATGTGTAGTTAATAGCACAGATCCTGCAGCCCAACTGCCTAGCATCACTTTGCAATTTTCTAGCATCAAGAAAGTTCTGGAGTATCTCTGTGTGACCCATGTACTTATCTACAAAATGAAAGTAACAGTATCTACCTATTAGTACGCTGGAGGATTCAAATGAATTGTTTTGAAGCACTCAGTACGTGGCACATACTAAACAATCAATAAATATTAGCCTTTATTATTATTAGGGAGTCTTAGTACAAAGTTAAACCGGCACAGCAACTAATTAATACTGTCATTAACAGACCATCAGAACAGTGCTTCATAACAACTGTTTGGGAACATGGGAAAAATAATAAAAAACCTATAAAACCTATGCAATATATATTTCCTTTCTACTGCTATCAAGTTGCAGTACTCACCTGAAAGTATGAAACTTCTGAGGCGCCACTGGTAGAAACCTCTGTGACCACTGATAAGGATTTCAAGTCACTTGATAAACACAACGCAAGACAAGTACCAGCAATCTGTAGAACAGTCAAATCCCCCAGCATTATTAGTATTACTGTTGGGTTGTATCTGCTGATGAGAGCAAAAATCCCCACAGAGCTTTAAGAAGCATTTAATAGAAACACATACTCTTGGCTGCAGCTGCACACACAGCAGATGAAGGGAGGTATCTGCCTACAGGGACCTTTCTTGTCACAAAGACACAAAAACACCTTGGTGTCACCTTTTTCCCCTCCTTCTCATCAAGAGTCTCAAAACAAGTGCTGGAAAACCAACACGTTTCTCAGAGGCTACCAGATTGTCTAGCCTTTTGGAAAAGGTAAGAGAAGGATGAAAAAGCTATAGAGAAGACAGAGCAAGTTCAGCAGATTTAGTACTGAGCTTAAACGGTTTCTGGTGACTTTTGATACATTCCAATCAAAAATTATAGCTCTTTTCCAATAAAATATCAAATCATAATCAAGTGTATACTAATCTTTTTGTTAAAGAAAAAAATGACAAATTCCATCAATTGTTTCTAATTTTTATAGATATATGTATCACTACTCTTTTTATCTTAGTAAGTTATCCTCTCAACATTTAAGAATTCTAAAACCTGAAACTGAAAAAAAGAAACTAGTGTTTTATTTTTTCCATAAATAAACTGCCTACTACACTCTAAGAGAAATGACAGAGAAGATTTTAAAGAAAAACTTACCCCTGTGACTCGAGCAATTTTGAACATTCCATAAGCATAAAGCTCAATAAATCCAGAGCTTCCTCCAAGGACAAGAATATTAAGCCTAATTAAAAATAATGCAACAAGCTGAGGCCCAATCAACAGAGATGATTGCATCCTTAAACCAAGATAAAAATTATCACTTTTTGTATAATCTACATATTAAAGCTCCCCTACAGAGGCAAGTTAAATAGCAAACAAATCCACTAATACTTAATTCATTCATTCCCCCCCAAAGAATATAATTTTCCTCTAGCCTAAAAATCAGTTTACAGCAAAATAATACATTTTAATAACAATTGTATTTATACCCTCAAAAACAAAACAATCTTTTTACCAGCTAATACAAATTGCCATCATCACTGTCATGCTAAATCTATGGAAAAGATTTAACCTGAATACTTAAATTTCACAAACTCTAGCACCTATATCCTTTCGTTCCTTATTAGAATAAACATAGGTATGTTATACTATTAAAACGTAACAAAATGATGTTAACACATGCTGCTGGAGGTATTAACGTCAACAGTGAAGTAGCATGACAGAGGACTTACTCTCGAAACTTCTGAAAACTGCCTCAAATACGAAATAACAACTTTAAGAAATCAGACTTAAGAAATCAGCAAGATTTACCTGACATCTCCCAAGAGCTTAATAATTTCATCAGAATTTTCTTCACTAAAATGTAAAAATACATTGGGTTATCTTTCAAAACTATCTTTCAAATGATAACATTATTTTACTTAAGAATCAAAAAGGAGTATCTTACCTAAATATTTTTGAGGTGTTGCTGTAACTAGAGGAAAACAGAGGTTAGGGTCAAAAAATACTTTAAAAAATATATTTTAATAAATGGGTAAGAAAATTGTCACAGTGTTAAAGTCTTTAGAGGAAAAAGAAATGCGTAAAATTAATTCCAAAGAAATAAAACTGTGGTACTTACTTTTTTGGCAACGTAGGTAGTTTAGGTAAGAGAAGATTTGATTCATCTTCGGCATTATAAAAGGATGTCAAAACACTAAAAAGGAAAAAAAAGTATTATAAAAACTTGCTATTAAAAATGTTAAATTTTTAAAAAGATGCCCGGTTTTGCATGACCAAGTAAACAGATGTCACAAATTCTTCACCAGTGGTCACTGTAACAATCACAAACGAGAAATTTAAAAAGTAGGAAGTTCTTTGTTATTTCTGCAAGAAAAAAACTGGCCTACCCGTTTTAGAGGAATATTAATAATTTTCTCAGCGTATGAAATGTATTCATACATATTCAGTAATCGGATGCTGAATGAAAATTTATGACTTATCTCTCACTTAAGAACCCACAGTACATCTCTGAGTACTAAAAGTAATTTTAAAGAACACTACAATTATGTATCCTTTAATTATTGGTTCTACGGTTTATATAAAATTGGGGATTTGATAACCCAATTGATATAGGAGACCACCATGATACATTCTGAAATGGTCTTATTTATCTTATTTATACCTTTTCTTTCTCAGCTCTATTACCTCGATAAGGCTGGAAATAAGTGAAAAAGTGGTGACCTGGCAAGAATGTCTTTCCACTTTAGCACAAAATAGCTGATTGGAGTCCCTAGAATAGAAAGTATTATTTATCTCCTTTTCTTTCTCAATTCTATTACCTCTAAAGAAGGTCGGAAATAAATAAGAAAAAAAAGTGGTGACTTGGCAAGAATTGTTTCCCACTTTAACATAAAATAGCTGATTTGAGAGACCCCTGAACATCCACATTTCTGAACTATTAATAGAAGTTGTGCTGGGAACACACTTAGCAGGCAACTGGGCTGGAACAGGAATTGCATGGTACACTCTGCTCCCGTCACCTTCCATAAATTCTCGTAACCATTTGCAATCCTTCACTATCTGATGAGGGGTTCATCACTCTGGTTTAACTACAGAGGATTTCACACCCCAGGCTAAATCCCCATCATCCAAATCTCTCAGATCTCCCTGAGGAAAAGTTGCCAATTAATACTCAGGATTTATAAATTCACTTGATACTAACTTAGTACTTTAAAGAAAAAGCTAATGGAAAGAAAATTATCACATTTCCTCAAAAAACAATTTTTTCTCTGGGTATTAGCCAGAGCTAATGGAAAGAAAAGAAAAAGCTAATGGAAAGAAAATTATCACATTTCCTCAAAAAACAATTTTTTCTCTGGGTATTAGCCACGCCCTCTCATTTCTTAGGCCATCTTGACTGCAATCCTGGTCTAGCACTTTGACTTTATTTCATCTGGAGCTTTGCTTTTCCTATCTTAGTAAATATTCGAATATGAAAAATGACTATGAGTACTCCAGTCATTAAAGAAAATGACTAAAAAGAGGAGAGAAATCTTGGCCATTCATGCATTATTGCTCCAACAAGAAAATACAGGGTTCACGCTTGTAATCCCAGCACCTGGGAGACCAGGGCAGGTGGACTGCTCGAGCTCATGAGTTCGAGACCAGCCTGAGCAAGAGCAAGAGCCTGTACCTGAAAAACAGCTAGGCATTGTGGCAGGTACCTATAGTCCCAACTACCTGAGAGGCTGAGGCAAGAGAATCACTTAAGCCCAAGGTTACTATGAGCTGTGACGCAACAGCACTCTACTGAGGGCAACAAAGTGAGACTCTGTCTCAAAAAAAAAAAAAGTGCCACAGCCACCCCAACCTACAGTAAACACCACCCTGATCAGTTAGCAGCCATCAATACCAAGGTAAGAAAGCAAAAAAGAGTATGGCTTGTTGAAGGTTCAGATGATCGTCATCATTTTTTAGCATATTTTAATTAAGGTACAGACATTGTTTTTTACACAGAATGCGAGTACATGCTCCGTAGACTACAGTATAAACATAACTCGTTTGTTTTTGGGAAACAAAATAATTCATGGACCTGCTTTATTGCAATATTGCTGTACTGTAGTCAGTGTTCTAGAACTAAACCTGCAATATCTGAGTATGCCTGCATATTTTATGGGAAGGAGGAATCTGGCCAGGAGTGGTGGCTTACACCTGTACTCCCAGCATTTAGGAGGCCAAGATGGGAGGATCACTTAAAGTCAGGAGTTCAAGATCAGTCTTTGCTTCTATCAAAAAAAAAAAGCTAACAAAGCATTAGAAAAAAATGTCATCTTCATAAACTTAAAACCAAAATTTAAATTCAACGTGCAGATGCTCAATACTCAGATGCTTCTAAGTTTCCATTTTAAAGAATAAAAATCGACTACTGAAGATTTTCTTTTCTGATGACTCCACCTGCTTTCTACGGTCACTTCCATCCAATGCATACAGGAAACTGGGGCCTCCACAGAAAAGGAGTGCAAGCTTTCAGGCTTTTCCACATCACACAAAATAATCTTCTTGGTGTCAGCAAGAGCAAAGGCCAAAACTAAAGGAAGACAAGGAAAAATAATCAAAATTAAGTGTAAATTTGAGAAAAATGGGTATTTCATTTTTGCCCAGTTTTACTCTTTTAAATACACCTTATCATGGGCATGATGCAACCTAAAAATCTTCCAATATTTTAAAAATTAAAAAAGAGATCTTTGCATATACTCTAGTTATTACCTAAGCTTACTTTCAAGTGCTCAAGCTTCCTAAGCCATGTACTGCTTTTCTTATGATGTACTTAATGTCTTACATATCAAAGTCTCTAGACTAGAACCCTGTTGTCCAGCAGAAAAAACAGGTCTTAACAAATAATTATATTTTGTCACCAAAACATATTGGTGCTGTAAACACTATCTGAAAAGTAAGAAGTGACTCCATCTCCATCTGCTTTGTTCTTGCAAGGCATTTTATTCCTGTTTATGTTTCTAACCCACAATGAGACACAAGGCCATCAAATACTGATGAATCTTCTTCCTCTGAGTGTGGCTGAATTATCTAGCACAGTTTCTCTCCATCACTCATTAATTTCCTCCTAACACATCCAATTTAAGAATTTCCAAATACAGTACTTCACTGCATACCACTGCATGCAATTTTGCTAAATGTGTGGCTTTTCCTCTTAAAAACAATTTAGAACGATCTTGAAATGATTATTATCTAACAGAAACCCTATTTTACTGTCCACAAACATGAAACCTTTTTTAAGTGATAGATACATCTATTTAAGTACACAATCTATTTTAACACACAATAACTTTGATAATTTATGCTTTAGGAAGCTTTAGGATGAATAACGCAAGATCTCAAGATGTTATTTACAAAAGCCCTCCAATTTCACACATACTTTAAACATAATTCTGAGCAAAATGAGCACAGAATGAGTACAGAATTTTAAAAGCATTCCTGTAAAGTCTACTTGCAGGCATTAATCTGAAGAGCTAATCAAAGTTCCTCCCAGTGTTCAGAATGTTTATAACAGCATTGCTTAGAAAAGCCCCAAACTAAAAACATTCTAAATGTCCACCAAGTAGGGGTAGATTTAGTAAATTACAATGCATAAATATAGCGGATTAGATGTAGTCATTTAACATTAACGTGGTAAATCTATCCACGGCGATATGTAAAAAGTGAGGAGACAATACAGAAAAAGCTATCCAGAAAACAGCATGCATCCATGAAACCGTGGCTACACCTCTCTATGCGTCTGTGTCTTATCAGGAAATGTTGAAAAAGATGTTCACCAAAACAGAATTGTTATTACTAAGTGATAGGCTTTCGGGGAATTTTAAAGTACTCATTATCTAGAGCAGGCGTCCTCAAACTGCAGCCCATGGGCCACATGCAGCCCACTTAGGACATTTATCCGGCCCGCTGGGTGTTTTTGCCCCATCTGCCTGTCCTGCTTAGCAGCCGACTCATCCTCGGTTCCGCAGTCTGGCCCTCCAATGGTCTGAGGGACAGTGACCTGGCCCCCCGTTTAAAAAGTTTGAGGACCCCTGATCTAGAAAGAACACTAAGCAATAAGGAGCATATACTGAATTTTACACCAACATTTTTTTTCCTTAAATCTCTAGTATTTTAAGTTTTTGTATTTATCTAGAGAAAAAAATTAAGCAACAAGGAACACATTTTACAATGTGCTTTCTCCTTAGAGCACCAGTGACACGGATGAACTTTGAGCTGAATGATTCACAGTACTTTGCTGCACTGACTCTATGTATCCAACAGCTCAAATAAGGACCATCACGAAAGAGTTCAGTTGTCAGAGCTACAACCAGTTACAACACAGCAGAAAGATCACACAGCTAGGGAAGGGATGGGGTCAGAGCGGCAAACACGCGTGCACAGAGAGAATATAAATGAGCCACACACTCAGCACTAAGATACAGTTTAGAAAGAAAAAGGCCACGATGGCACTAAACTGACTGGTGAGTGGCAGGTGGTGTTGGGACAAATGGTGCAGAAGACGATGACAGAGGAAAGCACAAAACCAAAATATTTTGTATATTCCACCAGATTTCACTTCAAAGTTATCTTTGCCAAGAAGCCAGATTTCAATTAAGAGAGATCTTTGCCAAGAAACAAGACAGCAGAATTATTCTGAGTTCTCTACAAAAATTTACACTATTTTTTTTAAAAAAAGGTTCCCAAACTGGCATTTATAATTTTAATATATAATAAGAACAATATTCATAAAATGAGGTTTCTTTAAGGAATCCTGTTTGTGAAAATAGTATTTTTATAACGTTATCTTTACGTTTGCCATCTGGTCTCCAAGCCAAACAGGTCACTTCCTTCCCTGTGTTTTCATTTGGTGGAAAACTCCAAACTCGGTGAAAACTTGCAAGTCGATGAAGTAAAACCTAAGACAAACAGATAAAATGGCAAAAATTTTTAAAAATATATATTTCCAAAAAATAAAACAAATTTAGATCCCCACCACAAAATTTTTAAAATTTACCATCTCTTGAATATTTAGCTATCCTAAGAATAGAGAAAGACAAGTGTTTGAATGAACATAAAGTATTTTGAGAAAGGAATGGGCGAAACAAGGTCTAACTGTCTGATTTAACCCTGTATATTACATAATTTTCGTATCTTTTATGTTAACAGGAAACTCACCTCTAGAATTAAGTAGCCTGTACAAGAACACAACAGCACGAAAAGGTAGCTATAAAACAGTCAAATAACATTAAACTTGGAATGAGACAACTTGGCATCAAACTTCAGTTATGTCACTTCCTAGTCAAGAACCTTAGACTAAGTCACTTAGCCATGCTAAATTTCCCTTTCCACGCCAGTAAATGCCCACCTTGGAGGGTCATGATGATGCTTGAGGGTTCCTTGTGCTTTAAAATAAACTGTCCCAATTCCTGCCTCTAGACAAGCACTAAAAATAGAAAAAGACCTCAGAACTGCAGCATTCCTGAAAAGACCCCTCCCCACCTCCTCTGCCCCCATCAGCCTAACAACCACTCCCTACTTCATCTCACCACTCAGGGTACCCTTCCCTATGGTTACATTGGTCTCTAGTAGGTATTGAGTACTCCTGAAAAAATACTTATCCACTAGACTTGACCTCTCCTCTAAAACCATGTCTGAACTCATTGTCAGGTATCAGTGTGATTCCGTCTTCATTCCTTCTCTAAAATGTGTCTCTCATCTGAGGATGCTACTTTCCCGGTAGCATTCTCAGGTATGGCTGTTTGTCTTCAGTAGGATAGGATCCCTATACTACTGCAAATACTAGGCTACTACTGAGATGAAGGAAGTGCTTTCCTTGATGCTCCAGGCTATTAGCATTTTAGAGATCTTTCTTCTCTAAAATCTGACTTTGAATCCGATGCAACCAAACCATACAACCCACTATCCCTCTTAACTACAGTCCTCTCCAGACTCCTCTGCCATTCCCCTCATTCTTTGAAGATGTGAACTCCTGGCTCATTCATGCTTTCCTACAACACTACTCACTGTCATTCTCGGTGATTTCAAGAACTACAACGTCCTGGCTTTTCAGTTCTCAACTGCCTCTCTTCCAATAATCACATCTTCTCCCTCACCTCAGCCACTCCCAGAGTTATGCCCTCGGCCAGGTCATTGCCAACAACTGCAATGCTGTCATCATCTCACTTTCAAACTTCCCACTTTCCATCCACCACCTCCTATCTTTTCAGCTCATTTCTGCAAGACCTGACTCCAATTCATCCACTTTACCAGAGCACACAGCCCATGGATTCTTCCACCCATTCACTGTCCCTTACCCCACGCATGCCCTCACTTCCACCCTTAATCAGGTTAGATTTAAGGTTCACCATTACAATCACTCCCCTTGCCTCTAACTTCAACTCTTACATTTCTCTTGCTTTGTCATACCTGCAAAACAACAAACTTAATTAAACCCAATTATGCCTGCACCCACATGGCCAAACAGAATGAAGAGACAGATATAACCACACTGTTGTCTTGCAAATTAAAAGACTGTGGCTCTTCACAGACTGGCAATCCTATTAGGTAGGCTTCCCTCATCTACCTGCCTTGGCAGTTTTTTTTGTACTTCTTCTTTCTCCTCAAACTTCCAATAGTTTCTTCTCCATCTTCACTCTGAGACAATCTTTTGCATCTTCTTTCACTGAGAAAATGGAACCAACAGTGCCCAATATCACACCTGCCCCTCTGACTGCAATGATGTCCCTTCTCTCCTACTGCTGTGGCTGTACCATCAACTGTTCTTTAGAGCCATGACAGAGTTTCAAAGCCCCTGGCAGAGCAGGGAGACTAGATTTCATGGAGGGCTCTGAGAAACTAGACACAAATACCCTAATGACAGACAGGGTCATGGCATACAACATGGCAGTAGGCTGCTAGGTTTCCCTAAGATTTCCTTACCATTGAGATTCCAAACTCAGCTTACACAGTAACTCTCACCTGGCCAGATAACTATCAGGAAAACGACCAAAAAGCCAAAGGAGGAAAGATGCACAGGTGAAGGGTTCCTTACAAAATGGCTGGCAGGTAAAAGGACTCTCAGTAGAATCTGGGTATCAGTGGTTTATACTTAATGAAGCATAACATCATGTGAACCAGAAATGCTAACTGACGAACACTCATGCACATTCTGTTTAGAATCGAATGATGTCCTACTCCTTTGTTCAACCTAAAGTATTTCTAAGATATTAGAGGCCTTTAATGATTCTACATTATAAAGAGCTGAGAGATGAGGAGGGGAGAAAGAATGAAATAGGCTGAATTGGGGACAATTGGGAATTGAGAGTGGGAGAAATCAATCAGGAAACAGCTGCTAAGTTAACGGAAGGTTGCCCTCCAACCCACAGTATGGCACCGTGGACGACAGAAGCTAGATTGTCACATGCATCCTTTGTGGTGTCTACATGCAGTAACTCATCCTCCTTCTGCTACTAAACTGTAAGCTAACTTTGAACAGGGTCTCTGGATCGATCATGTCTAACTCACAAGCGGCACATAGTGGGCTTTTTAAAAAGCCCCTTTAACTAGTAAATAAATGAACTGAGGAGACTTGGGGGTACAGGATTGTGTGACTGCATCAAGCTGCGTGACAACTATTGGTTTAGCCATAAAATACTGAAAATGGGCACATACTCATCTCTTGCATGCCTGGTCCCTAATATTTTCGCCTATGAAACTTGCCGCCGACCTGCAGGCAAGGGTGGGGCAAACAAGTGGTCCCCCGCTCAGGCTGCAGGAAGGGAAACTGAGGCCCTGACACTGTGGCCCGAAGGAACACGGTCGAGCTGTGTGTTCCCCGGCCCACCGCGAGCCGACCCCGCCGAGGAGGGGTCCCCGCCAGCTCACTTACCTCGCCCGCTGTGTTGGCCAAAGCAATGAGATCCCGCTTGGGCGACCAGACCAGGAAAATAATCTCCTGCGGTAGCTGCTTCTCTCCCACCACCCGGAAGGATGGGAAACAGGTTGGAAAACGCAACATGGGGGCGGCCCTGCAATGACACCCCAGTCAGAGGCCGGTGGGCCACTCAACCTTCGGCTGGGGACCCCGACCGCGGCTGTACCTGCAAGAGGCCTCCTCAGCAGCCTACGCGGGCCCAGCAGCTCGTCCCCTCCCTCTGCCGGCCGCGCGCGGCAACCTCCGGGCAGCCCCGCCCCGTTGCCGTCGCGCGCTCCAGGCACTTCCGGCGTCGCGCCTGCCTCGCGAGACGAAGAGGTGGCGAGGAGTGGGGCGGAGCTGTGGGGGGGCGGGGCCGTGGGGGGGGGGCGGTGGGGCGGATCCCCGGGTGGTGGGGGCGGGGCCAGAAAGGGGGCGGAGGCTGGACCCCGACTCGGGCGGGAGCGCTGGGCACCTTCAGGCCGGTCTTTTAAGATGTGCTTGCGTGTGTGTGGGCGCGCTAGCAGACCTTTTCTGTTTTCTCAGAAATTTCGCTGCTGTGATCAAAGAAGGGACAGTAGAGGTTTAGGGAGAAGCTACAGGTAGGACGAAGAGACAGAAAACAGGGCAAGCGTCAGATTCTGACTACAGTCCCAGAACAAGTAATTTTCACGTCAGTTGTGATTGCTTAGTAGGATTTTTAGAAGTCTTCCTGTCCAGGCTGCCCCTCCAGACGAATTAAAAGTAAATGAATACTGGATGGGACCCAGTATTTATTAAAACTCTTCTAGTGATTGCGGTTTGCAGCCATGAGGGGAGAGCGTGAAGGGGACTGCCCTGAAACCTCACTGGTAGAGGCAGATAAAACGCAGTACTTTGATTCCTCGTCCCATTGAAGCCTCACGTGTTCTTGGTAGTGGAGACTGCACCGAAACAAAGGAAGACTGTGGGCTCACCCGCGATTTATCCTGCAGCTGTTTGAACGTGGGGCTACGTGAACGGTGGCGGGGCATGGACTCCAAACCCACAGGCCAGCCTGGCAGACGACATGTAAATCAGAACCCATCGGGGCGTCCTTTATGTAGGACACACTTAAATGTGTCAACGTATTCACCAGCTCCTGCAACTATGACCCCGGCCTAAGAAAATGTGCCAGTATCATCCAGAGGGGCTTTTGCAACCTTTGCCTTTTGTCTTTGTTGTGAAAAACCGTGTCCCCCAAATTCATCCAGAGCCAGTGTTTCTAAGGAGAAAATGGACACGCCTTTTATGTTCCTGAAATGCATTCTCAGGTGTTAATGTTGGGGGTAGTAATAGGGGATAATTTGAATGGTGGGGTCCAGTATTGTGAACTAAAATGAAATTTTAAGCCCCCCAGCTGATTGAATGGACCCTCTCTTGGCAAAGGGGACCTTAGAAATACCCAAAGTTGAGCTGCTAGCCAAGAGAAGGGAGGTCTAACATGCTTCCTCAGGGTCATGCCCTCCTCCGTTCCTTAACAGGCATGAGGCCATGCAAGGCAAAGCTGGATCCACACCTGCAAGTCCTCAATTTACTTAATAGATCACTTGAGTGTGGATGTATGTCCCTAATTAGCAGACTTCCCTAGCTTAAAAACTTGCAAGCCTTTAGACCAGCGGTTCTCAACCTGTGGGTCAAGACCCACAGGAACTGTATTAAAGGGTCGCAGCATTAGGAAGGTTGAGAACCACTGCTTTAGACAAAGCTGCATTTAACCAATTACAAATCAAATAATCTTTAAACCCACCTATAACCTATAATCCCCACGCTACAAGATGTCCTGCCTTTGGGGGCCAAACCAGTGAGCACCTTCCATGTATTGACTTATGACTTTAGGAGTAATTCCTGTCTCCCTGAAAAGTCTAACACCAAACTGTAACCCCACCACTCCCCGTCCACTTGCTGGAGGCTTCTTGGGCATGGCTCTGGGCCATAATATTCATACTTGGCACAGGCTGGGGCGTGACGCTATAATCCTAGCACTCTGGGAGGTGGATCCCCTGAGCTCAGGCGTTCAAGAACAGCTTGAGCAAGATCAAGGCCCCGTCTCTTCTAAAAATAGAAAAATTAGCCAGGTGTGCTGGTGGTGGTACCTATAGTCCCTGCTACTTGGGAGGCTGAGGCAAGAATATTACTTCAGCTGAGAAGTTTGAGGTTGCTGTAAGGTATGACACTGTGGCACTCTGGCCTGGGGAACACAGTGAGACGCTCAAAAAAAAAAAAATACTCGGCTCAGAATAAACCTCTTTATTTTAATTTGGCTTCTTTCCCCCTCATAGTAACTGTCCATTTTAACATGCTATGGAAATTGGATGTTCATTTTCCTAGAACTTATCCTGAACGTGAACCCCTAAACAGGAGGTGAAAATGACTGTTCCTAGAGGTCTAAACAGTGCTAACAAAGGCTAGAGATCCTGTAACCAGACGGGTATGAGTTTCCTAACAGGCCTTCTGGCTCAGGAAAGAACATGGGAGTGGAGTTCCAGATGTGGGCAGGAAGCAGCAAGTTTGATGTTGCCATTGTACTTTCCGTGTGTTGGTGGGGTACAGAGGGGCTGGGATTGTTCCCAGGAATGATCCAAAGTAGCCACAGGACAAGAGCTTTTAACACACAGTGTTCCCGGTCTTTCTCTTTCCCAGAGGTTTTAACTTTACTCACTCTGCTCGTTTGCCTTCCCCACGCTGAGGAAAATACAAACGAGCTCATTTGTGCTTTTGTGGCACAAAATAAACAGGAAAAGCAAAAAAAGCCCAGCGATCAGGCATCAGTGCTCTATAAGGAGGCAATGGCAGAGGAATTTCATTCATTTATTCATGTATATAATATATATAATTCATGTATATTCATGTACATATATAAAGTGTATGTATGTATTTTATATATAGGGAGAGGAGAGAAGGTGGGGTGAGTGAAATGAGAGAAAATAAGACTTTAATTATTTCCATGCTTTATATAGCCTCTTCCTACTGTTTGCAAAAAAGATGCAAGAACTCCCTTTTTTGCAATAACTTTTTGGTCGCTAGGCTCTGTCTTTGAACACCACACCCCTGCTGGGCTAGCTCCCGACTCCAGCTTCTTTCTAGGCATTACAGTAGTACAGGGTTGGATTTTGAAAGGTCAAGCAGCCATCGAGAGAGAGTGGGAGCCTGACAGGAACGCACTGGTTCTTTGGTCATTTAGGCCCTTAACTCTTGTGACAAAGGTGATTACGAATGGGTTAGAAAGTTAAGTCCTTTAAAGAGGACTGTAAAGACAGCAGAAGACTAGTTAAGGGGGTGGTGTGGCGGATTCCAGACATATTTCTAAAGTAGACTAACAACTGATTATTGATTGCACTGCGGTAGGAAAAACAAGGGAAGAGTCAAGCCTGAGGCTGGGATGTTTGGATGCACAGACTTAGGGAAGAGAAAACTAGTTGTTGTGGGATCCTGAGGGGTAGGGAGAGATGGAAGAGAAACAAAGTTGACCAGAGCAAAGAAGGTAAGTGAGGAACTGAACTATGTTAAGAGGAAAAGTTGCAGGAAATTTACCTGTCATGGCCAACAGGTATCTGGAAATGCAGGTTGAAGGGGAAAAATTAGGGCTTGAGCAAAGATTTGGGATCACAGTGTACAGGGATGGAAGATGAAGTTGTGTGGGACGTGACTAATCTAAGCCATGGGCTTAGACTATTATATTGAAAATTCTATTTGGAAGTCACAAAACAGGCAAAACATACTAAATAAGCAAACTGTAAATTTGCTGGAAAGAGAAATAAGTATAGATGGTTGATGTTAGAACCTCTCTGCTCTTACCAGTTATATTCATTGGGCACAAAAAAAACCCTGACTTAAAGTGACACAAGTAATAATTAGAATGTATTTCAAGAGTCCAACAGTAGGGTGGACTTCAGGGCAGGCTAGATCCAGCAATCTGGTGTCAGGAGAGACCCAGTATCATCATGGGCATGCCTCCCCACATGGTCACGGGGAAGACTGCAAACAGCAGCTGAAGCTACCTGCTTCGTCATTCAGACAGCAAGAACCCCTCTGCATCAACCAAGAGCCTCACTATGAT